CCCTTCCTTCGAATATAATACTGGAAGGGGACGTAATTTTCCACCGAATGAGCAAAAGAATCAATATTTTTATGCATGTTTCCCATGAAATATAACTGGACTTTTAGGGCATCGAAAATCAATGAGAAAATCCCCTGCTACTTATGTGGTCATTTTTGCGAAGTGTAGTTTTTGCGTACAGCCGGAAGGAAGTTCGATCGAAAACCGGCATCCTGAGGTAACTGATATATTATAGAATTACGTTGCAGTCTAACTAGTTTTACAACCCTACTCTATCAACTTTTTCGAAACAAAAACGCAATTCGGGATTTCGGTTGACGTTTCAAGAGTTAGCCCACTTACTGTATTTCCTTGTAATCGCATAAAATGGTTTATCATGCCCATTTGTGCCGGATGCCTGGTCCACAAACCTAAATGATTATTGACCAAGCGCAAACTTACCCCGACGGGTCAGTAAGGCACTCTGGAGGACCACGAACACATCTCGCCGCATTGTACTAATCAGACGACGCGGTACGCATAACACAAAGCCGGTTCATTATTTGTGAGCGAAAGAAGGAATTCATGTTTTAAAAATCAGCTGCACGTATTACGCACGTACCTGCAGTTACCATAGAAGTCAACGGGTGGGTCTCGGTAAAAGCGACGAGCGAACACACGGCAAGTCTGTGGCCGTAAATTAATTTCTTAATCAGTCTGCGAAGGTCACTGCCGAAGGAAATGTCAGCATCACCTCACCCAGTAACTACGCTCCACGCTACACGTTCTGCGGCAGCCGTGACGCTGAAGCGTGTACCGCGGATCTTTGACATCTGGCGTGTGCAAAGTACCCAGCCCCGCCGAAGCGCTCATGTCTTTTAGACCTATTCGGCACGTGTCTGTTCAGTATGTAGGGCGTCAACTACGGTCAAAGGGGGATAACGTATCTCTACAACCCGAGTTGATGGGAGGGGGGTACAGCTTTTGTCGTCGGGCGCATGCATTCGGCTAGTGACTCGCGCGCAAATAACATTCGCCCAGGGCGCCAAAACTGAAGTGGGCGACGGTGATTATTTTAGGGACACCAAAAGCGACAAAACTAACCATTGGTGAGAGGATTGAGAAGGTAGTTTTTATGTATGGAATGTTGTCGATAGTTTGGCGAGATCGCAGGAAAGCTCAGTTCCAGGCACTTGAGCGGGAGTTCAGTCGCTTGCAGGTAGGTGTGGCACGTGGTCCAAAAAACTGTCTTTACAAACAAGCACCGGTCATGATGCACCGAACAGTGTCAGACCATGTGCTCATGATGTTGCGTGAAGAGTACGCAGCTGCACAGACCGAGCGTCCGAAGGCTTGCTCAGGAATGCGGCACCTTTACGAGTGCCGCACAAGGAGTAGCATTTTTGGCCATACCGAACTGCTCGATTGCAGGAGCTTCGGTTCCATGTTAGGCACCTATGGTGGGGATTCGTTCTGCGATTTCTGTCAGCGGACATTCCGCCAAGCCGACGATCGACCCACTTATTTGATTCAGTTGAACATTGACGTGATCTCTCTCTCTCTCTCTCGGTCAGGTTTCCGGCAACATTCCGCGTAAACAATTATAATTTGGATCCTCTCCTCAACAATTCCATCGTTTTTTGCTCATCCACTAGTGTTACCTGTATGCCACCAGCCGTCTTCACTGCCGGGTATAAAGCAGCTTTACTGCCACGCAGAACACTGAAAGCCGACTGAGTGCATGGGCTTTGTGCTGACAGGTGCGCCCTTTACGATTCAGGTTGGAACGATGCGTCTGTCCATCTAACGGTCTGGGTAGTTTTGAAGAAGGAAACACGATAGCTGGGAAAAGAGCTTTATTAGCCTGACGTTTCGGACTCCTGCTCGGACCCATCATCAGAGACGAAAGCAGATACGGGCGGTTCATGCATAAGGGGCCACAGTACTTATAGGATGCAGTCGCCATGCTACCGCATACACATGAATATTCACGGCTCCCTCTCCTTCATCAGGTATCGTTGCACGTGGCGTGATGGCCGACATTCGCGTCGTTAATTGCTGCAATTTCATCACGTGCGTTCGATGTTGGTGTGATGATTGCTCGACCCTGGTGTTCGGAAAAGCGTTCACCTGTGCGTTTCCCGCGTGGCTAATTACTCCGCCCAGGCGAAGTCCCAGAACTGAGTATGGAAGGGGAAGGGCATTGCACTTGTTAATGGACTGGGGGGGGGGCAGTAAACCATGACTCAAGCAGCTCCCCGCTCACGCGGTTGTCACCTCTTACGAGAAAGTCGGCCTCGTCGAATCTGAATGTATGGCCGGATCTCGTCAAATGAACCGAAACTTGAGAGCTGGCGTCATTTCTCCGCACTGCTACAGCGTGTTCGGCCATCCACATTCGGAGCTGTCTTCCGGTTTCTCCGACGTAGTTGGTTTGTCCGCAACTGCACCAGATCCGATAAACGCCTCCCGGCGTTTCTTGCCGCGGCAGCAGGTCTTTCGGTTTCATTACCTGACGCCTGATGGTTGCCTCCGGTCCGTGTGCAACTCCAACCCCAAGTGGAGCGAGAAGGCGGCCGACAGCTTCCGAAACGTTCTTGACATACGGAAGTGCTCGCCAAAATTTGGTGCCCGTGTGGTTTGGCCTCTTGTGCCCTTTGCGTATGCACCGGTTGACGCAGTTGCGCGGGTAGCCGTTGACTTTGAGGACCTGTCGGAGTTATTGTAGTTCGGCAATTTTGTCTTCCGGTTCACTGCAGTGTGTTTTGACATGCCAATAGAGCGTCTTTACACAACCTTGTTTGTGGCTGATTGGGTGCTTGCTGTTGAAGTTCAGTACTTGCATCGTATTTGTCGCTTTCCTGAACACTTTGTTCTTTAGTCCACTACAAGCTTTGCGGCATAGGTGGACATCGAGGAAGGCAAGCTCGTTGTTCTCTTCCTCTTCCATGGTAAATTATATGTCGGTGAAGACCGCATCCAGATGTTTCTTGAATGTCTGCAGTTAATCCCATTCGATGACGATTAAGGTATCATCAAAATACCGGGTCCAGAACTTCGGTCTGTGGTGTTGGAAGACCAGCGACTCTAACCGTTGCAGGATCGCCTTGGCGATGAATCCCGAAATCGGCGAACCCGTTGGTGTGTCTTTCACCTGTTCGTAGATTGTCCCGTCGAACGTGAAATACGTCCTGGGACATAACTTCAGGAGCTGAAGGACTTGGGAGTGTCCACGACGATTCTCCGTTTCATCGTATCTGCTTTGTCTGGGTAGTGGATTAACGCGCGAGATGCCCACTCGTGCGCTCACGCAACTGGCGAGGGATTGGCGTGTCTGTCCACATGCGTCGTCTGTATGGCTCGGGGACTGTTGGATCGATTACCAGTGGGGCCACCCACTTACTGGTCAGTTAGCAGGGTGAAGTCAGCCTACCCTGTATATGTGTCTGTGAAACACTCCAGTCCTATTTGCCTCAAGAAATTCTGGGAGAGGATTGAAAAGGTAGGCCTACTGAGAAAATAGAGCACAGAGACTTGCATTACGGCAAAGATGTTTATAGTAGTTTTGGCAGAGAGATACTCACCGATCGTTCTTACGGAACTCACTCGTTCCGTTGTGCCTTACGGGCTCTCTCTCCAGCCCAACCAGCGGCCGCAGACCGGCGAGTTATATGGGCTGAATAACATTACTGACAAAGACAAGGGAGACTGATTTATTAACCGTCGTCAGCCAGTCAGCCAGTGAGTTCGTAACACTTCGGTGAGCGCCCCTCAATGATTTTATATTCCCGATCGCAACCGACAGGACAACGAGCCTGTGGCTCAGTGGTTGGGCATGACTGGCTGACGACGGCTTATAAGCTAGAAGTGATTATTCCAGTCTCCCTTGTCTTTATCTGCAAGACAGTATGCAGTAGGCAAATGGCGTTGATCTGCGTATGACCAAGTATGCGTACTGTTGCTGCCCCGAATGGGCGCAAGTCCTCCGCTTCATTCAGTTTGAAAGTTTGGTGAAGATGTCACATTGGTTTGGTGTTCACAAATATGTTCGGATTAGAGAATGGTAGGGTAGTGGTTCCGTTTTGCTTCGGAGTTCTCATCTAGAACCCTCGCAGCCGGCCATCCGTGTTCCGTCTTAAAGGCAGGACAAGTCAGTGAACTTTACTTATATGTGAACTTGTGTACTTCAGATCTCGGCAGATGGAATGTGGGCCCGGCAGCT